ACATTGCCGGGGTGCTCAGTCTGGGCTGCATTGTTCTGCAATGGACAGGGTTAAAGAATCCTGTGGTCCGTTGTTTCAAAGTGTCTCACCAAGAACCAATTTTAAATACACATCCAGACACTGACTTCTATTCATAGACTTTGCTTTAACCACAGAAACCACCCTTGTCTTGGCACACAGAATCACTGGCCCCGTTGAATATTGCCAACATATGCTATGCCGAAAGAAACTGTAATTATCCAATCTCTGGCTGTATCACCACAGAAAGAAAAAACAAAGAAAGGCAACTGGGAAGCACTGTGGAGTCTCCTGAGAATAAAATTGTGCAGACTTCACCACTACCACTTGCTACTTAAAATGATGGCTAAACCCAAAATACAGACGTGTTGGGTTTTACATTTTGCTTTTATTAAAAGGGAAAAAAGGGATTTTGTGACTGCTTCCTCTGAGAGCATTTTCATGTTCAGGAACTCTGGTAGTGAACTCCTTCCTACTGTCCTTTCAGCAGCAGCTCTTCAGCCACCTGCAGCTCCTGATGACTGCTTTCAGTGAAACGAGCTACACCTCAGCTAGACTCTCCCACAAAAGGTTGGATCTTCTGAGACCCCTTCCAGTCCAGCTCTGTACATGGACACAAACAAATACAGCCACAACAGCTAATAACATCCTGTACTGAGCTGGGCTAAAATAGCAGAAAACAAAATCAAACTGTTCCACAGCAATCAGAGCAGTGCTGTGGCTGCCCCAAGTCAGGTACAGGCTGGATGTTATTTGCCACACCTTCCTGCCTGAGTATGAGGACTGGGAAGTTCAATTGTATAAAAAGTTCATTGTTCCCTAAAGAATCAAGAGCTATGGACATCTTTTCCTCCACCTTCTTTTTTTCCTCATGTTTGTTTTACCAGAAGTAATTTCACCTTGCTCAGGGTTTTTGTCTTGTAATCATTTGAAGTGTTCCCTCAGGTCCATTTGCTGCAGGACTTAAGGTATTATTGAGATCAAACAATATGAAATCCTTAGAGCTGTGAAAATACAGGATTTCCTGCCTCAGAGCTACTAAACCCTACTCTCTATTTTCACTAAGGTAGGACAGACCCAGGGACTGGAAGAGGAAACAGGCACCTGGGACAAGAATATAGAGCCTTGGTATGTTTGGAAGGTACCAAGAATGTTCACCTTGAAACATAACAGCAAAAATCCCTCAGTCCACCACTTACCTTTAGAAAGGCCCTTGTTTAAAATGCAGCTATTTGCCACAACACATCAGGTGAATCACATCTTCAGTTTGCTATGAGGCAAGATTTTCCTAGCAGCTATTTATAGATGCTGACTTCCTTTTCAAAAGCGGTGAGAACAAAGGAAAGAAGGCCAGAGGTTGGTCTGTGTGTGCTGGGCATTGCTCCTGGGGCAGCTTCCTGGCCACCCTGCTGCGATGGAAGAGCCCTGCAGGCAGGGACCGCCCCCAGCGCAGCCGGCTGGGCACACGGAGCACGGTGACACCGGCGGGACAGACACAGCGCTGCTGCCTTCAAAGCACGGCCAGAGCTGCAGAGCAGGAGCACAGCGAGAGCTGACACCGTTTGAAACAAAGCTGCGGCTGAGCAGGGGAAAGCACAGCAGAGACCAACTCCAGCAATCTCAACAGGGTGAGGCAGCTCATCCAGCACGGATGTGGGGGAGAGCACAAACATCCTGCTCTGGAAAGCAGCACAACAGGCAATGGTGGCTGTGGAAGGAGGAAGGAAGGGAAATTCCCAGTTACAGGCACAGGGCAGGCTGTCAGCTGTGAGAGCAGAAGAGGGCCTGACAGGATGTCACGGGAGAGGTTACAAACAAAATTACCACCTACCAAAAAGGTCAGGGAGCATGAGAACGTAGGGCTGATCAGATGGGGGCTGGCCTACACACAGACATCTGAGCAACTTGCATGAAGCTGGAGTAGAATAAATAGATTTGCAAATCAGACTGTTCTAAACCCCTCTGTCTGACCTCCCTAACAGGGACCACCATTTCCCTGCCAGCAATTTCTGTTTCTGCTAAACCATAAATGCAGCAGCCATCTGTGCTGAAATACTTCAGGTCATCACAGCCCTTTGTTCTTTGCTAACAACTTATTCTTCATTAGGTACCTCTGCAGTTCCAAGAGGAAAGAAACTGCTGTGTCCATTTACTGTAACCCAGTGCTGAGGATGGAGATGAGGATAAGGAGCTGGAAGAGGGAAGGGGGTGTGGGGAGCAGGGCTCACAGTTTTGCTGACTCCTGAGGTGTGATCTTTCAAATGACAGGAAAGGAGAAAGGAGGAAGAGTTTCATGGAGAGCAAAGCAGACAAAGACAGAGCTTGTGCTCAACAGGAAAGTGACAAAAGATGGCACACAGTATTTCATATCCACATTCTAGCAGCTGACAGCATTCCTGCACTCCAGCAGCTTCAGCTGATCTCACTGAATACTTCTGGCTGTATTAAAGTAGTTGAGATTGCAGAGCAGAAAATCCCCCAAGAGTCTTTAGCAAAGGAAGATGGGAAAAACATGGCTAGAAACACATCACAGAACATGGAAAATGGTCAAGAGGGAAAAACTAACCTGAGAACAAAAGAGCTTCCCACAAACCCCTCTGGCGTCGGACATCAGCTGTGAACACCTCTGGTCATGCTCAGAGCCACAAGCCCAACACCAGCCCCACTCCCTGCAGGGGAGCTTGGCTTCACTGTCACAGAGCCAGAAACCTCAAGTACTGAGTAAGCAGAATGTGCTACACCAACTACGTAAACAACTTTTTTGTGTCTTTTAATGGTATTTGGAGTACCTGTGAACTTCAACAACTTCTGGCACTGTTTAGTCACTCTTCCAGTTCCTTTAAGGAGCGAAGAACACTTGAGCCTGCCAGGCAGGTGCCAGGGATCCCTGCCCAGGTCTCTGAGCACCCTGGGGTGGCAGGGCAGGGGGCAGTGGGGCCCAGAGGGGGGCACCAAAGCTCAGCCCTCGAGGCACAGGCGCTGCCAGCTGTACAGGCACTGCAAAACAGGCTGTGGCCAGGGCAGGCGTGGCAATGTGACACTTTGGGACACCAACTCAGGGACACCAAGCCCTGGCCCAGGCCCAGCAACTGCTCTTGGCTGCAGGAAAAGAACCAAGGGGAATGGGACTCTGCAGCAGGAACCACAATTTCATAACTTGTATGGCATGTGAAAAAAAACTCAACTGAAGAAGGAAATACTTATAATATTTATGTATCTTGAACTTCAAAAATAAAAGTATGTACAACTAGAGTCCACTTCTCATTAAGCAAATGTACACTGGTAGATCTTCCTCTTTCAGCCAGTGCTCTAATGCTGCAGGGAAGAATAAAGATGATAATGGATGGAACAGAGTACAAAGCTGAGAAGCATTTGCTAAGTGCAGCACCATTAACTCCCTGGTATGCAACTTGATAAATTTCAAGTTTTCAAGCCAATGAAATATTCTGACTTTTGGAGTGAGGAATTGCTTTTGTGCTTTCTTATTTTCAAAGGTAATTTACAGGGGATTTGGGGGTTTTGGTGACCCCAAACCCAGTCAGATGTGTCAGACTGAAAACAGTAACCAGCCTCATTACTGTAACCAGGATAATTATTATCCCCTTTTGGACACCTCAGGAGCTGGCCACTGGTTCTGCCTAATATTTGACAATCAATCTAAGTATTTGAATAGTTTTAATAACTTAAGGCACACTTCTTGTGAAGCTTTTCATACTCACTCCAAAACCTAGAATAATGCTCCACTGCTAACAGTTATAATTATTAAATAAATAAAATAAAAGACATCCATTATTTTGTAGTATTCCCTGAAGGACCAAAGGCGAGTTGTTAGGAAATAAGCCTTGCACAGAAGCGCCTTTCCGGCTCCCCGGAGCAGGGGCCGGTTCCCGCAGGGAGGGGCGGC